TCCCTGTGGCTCTGCCCTTCAGCAAGAAGAGGGTTAAGTGGAAGTAGAGCTATGCAGGCTGTTCACTTCCTGTGCTGTGGTTCTGTAAGCCGTCCAACCCTGGTGTCTGTTGCTCAGCCTCACATGGTGAGGGGGCCACGTTCAGTTCCTTTCTGAAAATATTAATGTGAGCGCAGGCCTTGGTCAGCTTCCGCTCAGAACACTCTCTCCTCATGTCTGAACCAACCGAAAACCAACTACTTATGCAAACCTATTCAGTGAACACATGCACTATTCAAGCTGGACTAGTTTTACCAGGAGAATTTGTAATGTAATTTATGAGACATTTGACGTACAGGATAAGACAGTGGACAGCAGCCCTCTCACGGGAGATCTATTTTCCTGCAGAGTTTTGTTCCAACCTGCATCTAACATAAGCATGTTAGATGCAGGTTGGAACAAAACTCTGCAGTTGCAAACTCTGCAGCTGCAAACTTTGAATTAAAAAGGCAAGCGCCTGATACTGATACATCTGAGCCTGCCAGTTAAGGAATTCTGAATAAGTTAACTAGATGGAGCTGGTGTGGCTGCAGGAAGGGAGATCTCCAGAACCAGGGATGGTGACCTCTAGGATAAAATATCCATTTAATTAAGTTTTTATGGTATATTTGTATGGTTTTTATGGTATATTTTCCCCCAAATTCCCACAGATAAACCAGACTGAGACATATTTGCCTGTTCAGAACAGTTAGTTGGATACTAAGAAGATGAGTGTTAGATGTGTCCAGAATTATGAACAGAGCTGTGTATTCTAAAATTACTCAGAAGGCTGTGTAGCGTGGGGAATTAAGTGCTAAAAATAATGTCCAGACATCATCATATTTCAAATGTGGAAGATAACAACAAAAATATATGTAAATAGTTACAGTATATGATTATAATCATATAATTTATGTCCCCTACATCAGAAAGTGTTTCTGTTCACTTACATCAATTACAATACCTCCCCAGATCCAGCTCAAATAAGATTTTTATGCCACTTTGGTGAGGCTCTTTAGCTCATTTTGAAGTCACAAAGGAACTGCTTGTTATTTCTGATGCACTAAGGACCCTGTTAACCAAAATCAAGGGCACTGAGCCTTGGTTCACAGTGTAAATTATCCTAAATACTGACTGTGGAACTCAAATCCGTCCTTTTTTTTTCTTAGTGAAAAGTCAAACCTGAACAAAAGCATGTTTCAGTTTCACCAATGGAATTACATTTCCGCTTGTTTGCATTTCAGCAGTTTTTTTTATACCATTTAACAGTTTGTGTTTCCCACCAACATCTCATGACTCCATGTGACTTTATTGTGAGAGCTATCAGTGCAGTTTCTAAAAGGAATAAACTAGAAGGGTCACAAGTTTCATGAAGTCTTCACCCAATAGATCTATTAATATATGAAGTAGGGGTGGACAAGATAATCATGATGTTGTGATACATTACATCGCAGTAGGCTTGTTCTGAATTGGTACTTCTTAAACAGTGAACAACTGTGTGTGTGATAATACAGACCAATTACATTGAGCCTGTAAACAACAACAACCAGTGTATAATAATTGCATGCTGAAGAACCTGACTTGATGTTAGCCCATTATGGCATCATCTCCAATGATAAATAATCATGAATTGTTTTCTTCCTGTTCTTTCTTAAGTAGTTTATTGTTGCAAACTTTGAATTAAAAAGCCATTGTACTGTTTTTCTGCCTTTTGTAAAAGTACAGTGCTGCATATTGTGAAAATGACTTTTCACATTCTAATGTTATGAACCTGCCTGAAGCCACTCCTGGTGTCAGCAGTGAGATACAGGGGCTGTCACTTTTTTTGTTGAAAGTGACCCAAAATAAACCCTCACTATTAAGGGCTCAACCCAGTGGGTGGCAGCTGCGGCCTCTGCCTGAGCACTCCAGTTTCTCTTTCTCTCTTTGCTCAAACCGCCATGACCCAGAGTATCACCACAGTGGTATTCTGGTTACACTCTGGTTTAGCCTGCACGCTCTGCTTTCAAGATGCTTAATGTAAACACACATACTATATTGAGTGTTCCCATGCTTTAAGGCTGTGTGCTTAATTTGGCCTCTTTATGTCACATTTCTTTGCTTTTCATCTGACATTAGCCACAAAAACAGCAGGAAAGGATGTGTAGGAGGGAATAGGGAAAGGAGATGGGTTAGGTTCAGTGGTTTAACCTCTTTTATCACCTTTGAGGCCTTGTTTAATTTGACACTGCAGCCTCACTTTGGTCTCTGTGGATACTTGCCATGGCCACATTGGACCACCTTGTGTGACACACCACCAGGACAGAGGTCACATCCTTTTTTTTTTTAAGCAGTGTTTTCATGGCCTGATTCATTGTTGCACCTTTAAGTAACAGGCTTTTGAGCAACATATCTTTTACTAGGACAGTATAGGTAATGAGTAAAAAACCAGACAGTATTGTGCAGTAGTCAGACCACCCTTCATTTATTTAATTCCCAGTCAAAAAAAACTGATACTCAAACTTTTTTAATTTTTGAGAGATAGGAGAAACTTAAGCTACACTTCAGTGAAAGGATGTGTTGCTGTCAAGAAGCTGTTACTGAGAAAAAAGAAAATAACATTTACAAATCAAACAAAGAAGCTGTTGGTGTTTTCAGAACAATGGCCTGCCCACCCCAGAGCCCAGACTTCACCATCATTGAATGTGTTTGGTATTACATGGATTGTAGAAGTACTCTAGAAAATGCAGTTAACTTCTGAGATTGAACTTTGGAGGTGTGGAATGATACTGCTACAGTTTTCAGTTGGAAACTGAAAGCGAGTCTCTTGACAGAAAAAAAGGTAATGGGTGTCCACACTAAATGCTGAACATTTTGACATTATATTTAGTTGTTCGGGCTTTTGTGTAATTTCCTGTTAAATATGTATTCTGCTTTTTCTTTCTGACAATGAAAAATTGCTTGTACTTAATTGCTGTTTTGACTGGAAATTAAATAAACAAAGGGTGATCTCTAAGGTTTGCACTGTATTTAAAATGTAATACCAGAACAGCATGAGTGTAAAGATGGGCTATGTCGTTGAAGGTATAGCCTCTCAATTCATGTTGTCATCCTGTAGTTGGTGTAATACCCACACAGGAACGCAGGGGTTTAGGGTTTAAGCTGGTATTCTCTATAACAAAAATTAACTTCTCTATAAGAAAAAGTCTCTTTTTTTCTGAAAAATTGCTAATATCACACCCTGCTGTAAATGTTTTCTCAGAAAATCTCTAGATTCTCATCATTTTGGTGCACAGGTGTGTTAACTTGGTTGTAACATGTATGCATGTATGTATTTAGAGAGCCAAACGACATCATAATTCGGAAGATTTGTGAAACTGTATGTATAATAAAATACATTGGATTTGGGGCATTTTTGTTTACTACAGGACCACAAATTCTTAATATAGGCATGACTACAGAGATCTTTAGCAAAAAAAAAAAAAGACAATTTTGTGGCTAATATGGTACCAATATTAGGGTGCTAAAAATTCCCGCTGGATATGAACTTTTAGTTGAACAGTGTCTGACTGACAAATATGACTGTCACTTTACAGTTGTTAACTCCCTGGAGCCATAACAATTTATGTAAAAATACCTGGAGTTTAAAATAGTGCCCAGCGTAGGGTTCTCCTTTTGCAGCTGTAGCCAGTCAGCAGCCTGTCCATGTTGTCCACCCTCACACATGCACACATATATAAACACGACACAGACAGCAGACCATGTATGAAGAGAAGAGAGTTTAGTGACACAGCACCCCCACACCTTTATTCACCCGACCACCACATGTAATATAAATGTGTGTAGGGGGGTGTACAGTGTAAAGTCATTAAAGAAGTATTATTTTATATGTTCTTCACTGAAATGAGCAAAGGCCAAGGAATCTGAGGTAGAAATGATAATAAATTGCATATTTTTTTCTTTTGGTAACCATTGAAAATGGGTCCTACAGACCCGAACACGACACACAAGGGTTAAATAAAATTAATATTGTAGGGTGGTGGAGCTATTTTCTTTGCACTTTTGGTTTCTGTTTATTACCTCTTATTTTTCCTATATTTAAGTAGTTTATAAAAAAGTGTTTTTTTGTATTATAACAAGTCATTCTCATGCTGAGGTTCAGGTTTGGATACGTTGTTGTTTTATGTTCAAGTCACCAGTATTGCTGTCATATAATTAAATGTAAAATAAAATAAGTATCTCATACTGGGTTGTTTATATGTCCTAATTTTTCTGGCCAACTGATATATCAGAAGTGCTACTTCAAAAAAAAGGAAATAAAAATTGCAATTTTTAAATATATACTTTCTAAATATGTTGGTATTACATATCACACAGCCTACCTCTACATAAATGATAAAGGCTTTGCGTGAAGGTGCTATTCCAAAGACACAGAAGCATGTTTCTGCTGAGTGAGTAAGCCATACAAGCTGCAATCTACAGAGCTTTTGGTGACAAGTTTAAAGTAACAAGATGAAAAAGATGGAGAGTAGCCTTCTACTGCAGCTGCCACTTGAGAAGTCAGCATGGAGCAAAACCTCAACCCCACCACTCTTTTTGTGAGACCTAGAACTGGGCAGTTGCTACAGATCTCATCAAAACAGGAAATTTCATGTTTCCTCTGCTGCTTTCAGCAACTGTTTGCGACACACAACTTCTGCACATATGATTTAACGTTCACACGTAGACACATATACGGTGTGTGTATATATATATATATATATATATATATATATATATATATATATATACATATACACAAACACACACACACACACACACACACACATTATATATATATATATATATATATATATATATATATATATATATATACACACACACAGTATATATATAGTCATGCCACAGTGCCTTTCTCTGGCATGCAAAAGCAATGAAGTAGTGCAAGTGTCAGAACACTGACAATTTGACGGCAAATTTTAACTGGTTAAGAATCAAACCGCAGTGTATGGTTACGCATGACCTAAGTGATCTAAACTCCCAGTACAATTCTGACTCATCTGGCCTTGGTTTACCTGACATCAGAAATGGCTGAAGAAAAATGAAAATGCAAACTACATGCGATAATGCAATAATCTTATTTATTTGAGTTAGCGGCCTACAGCTATACCAGTAAAAGAAACTAGGAAGACTTGACTTGTATATATAGATTTTAAAATACCATAACATCCATTTGTAGTAATTATAATTCTCTGTGCTACTTTCAGGTTAACTGCAGTTATAAATGTAGGTTTGTATGTGTTTAAAAAGCTAAAATTCAGTAGTATATAGAAATGTTTGGAACAAGGGTAGAACAAAGGTAATAAAAAAATTGGCACTGGCCCACAGCAACAACAACACTACAACAAGCTAATGGTTAATTGGGCCAAAATTCAGAACTATAGAAACATGTACATTGTATTTACAATTAACAAGCATTCAGCATATTTAATATGATTTATCTAACGGTTTTTATTAAATCATTTAATGCATATGCATAAGCATGTGTGCTTAAGAAGTCTGTTTGTGTGTTTAACAATATTATGCCAAGTAGTTTTAGATGTTGCCCAGGCCTAGTGAAAAGTTGTTTTGTTTTTAATATTAGAAGTTTCTGTATGTGTGAAAAAAATTCTGTATGTGTGAAAAAAGTTTGTGAAAAAGCAAGCACAGGCTCTGCATTTTTAAGTGTCCAAAATTTTAAATGTTGTGACCAGAGGCAAGGGGAATTGGCAGTCCCTGGCTTGGAATAATCAAACTTTTAGAACAATATTAATGAACCTTTGTGAATGCAATATATTAGACCTTGTTTAATGAGGTGTACAGATCTACACAAATAGTTCACAGGTATGCAAATGACAATGTTTTTCTTGCTTAAAGTAAAGAACATTTTCTTTATTTAACTTTATTCTTGCTAACTATTTGTTTGTATATGATCCAGTAAAAATCTGATTTTGGCTCGACATGGTGTGTAATAACTCCAACCAAATATAAGAATCAGTGCTTACATGATATAATTACAGTTTGAATTGAAAGAAAAGCTTAATTTCAGTGAATTTTGTGCAGATCAATTAACTTTGGTTTACTTTGATGAAGATGATGGCTAAGTTGGGACGCTGCCTTTTTTGACCTGGGAACAAATAATATTAACTAAAAATATTGTGTTTTACCTTCACCTCATTATCGAGTAAAATTCTCATTTAGCTCGGAGACCCTCCCTTATACCGCATTTCACTCTGAAACACGTCATGTTATGGAGGAAAATATGTTATAATTCCTGAGTCATGTTGACTCTAATCTGCCATTCACATATTTCTTAAAAGAGACTTATTAATGTTATCCAGTTTGTCTTGTGTTACTTAGGAAACCATATAGGTACATTATTGTAGGCCTAAAACCAAATCTTAATGAATGTGGTTCCTAAAACAAAATTATTAGAGTGTAAAATATGACTTTAATGAATATAAAATGTACAAAAAGTGCATGTAAGACATACTCATATGTTCTGTTTACATTTGGTAACAAAGGCTAACAATCATATTCTCATGTTAGCTAAAAACATAACTTGCAATTGCTTTATTACAAAAAGTCAGGGTCTTTCAACATCTGTAGTTTTACTCAACCAGTTCTGTGTTGGCTGTGTTTGTTTAGTATGGCGTGGGCCTCCAACATTTCTTTTTAATTGCACGAGGCAGCACTTTTGGCCTGTATGTGAGTAAATAAATGACAGAGATGCCCACCAGGGACAGGCAAACACATAAAAAGAGCAGAATGTACCAGAAAATTGACTCCTCTGTGCTGTGGCTGCCACAATCGACAGAGTCAAAAAACATGGCTTTTCGGCTCTGGCGGTGTAGGTCTATACATGTAACCTCTGAGAGATCAACAGCACGGAGGGCTTTTGATTCCTCAAACGTCCTGTACCATTCTAACTGGCAGCAATTAAAAGCATTTCCATTTACATAGACAATCTGAACCCTTTCTGCAATCGCAGTCGCATGTTCAGATTGGATGGTGGATAGCATGTTATTCCTCAAGTCCAGAAGCTTCAAGTTCAACATCAATAGAGATTTCGGTAGCTCCCATATTGAGTTTTTGGAGATGTTGAGAAATTTCAAATGTTTATATGGTGAGAAGTCAAAGTTTTGCAGACCTGTGTTGCTCAATCCCAGGTGCTGCAAGGTTCCACTGAGACCTGATAAACAGTCTTGGCCAATGAGCAAGTCTGGGTTGTTAGATAGTTCTAAGTGTGTCAATGGTGTACCCTCAAAAACCAAAGGCGGCAGATTTTGTATGCTACATCCAGCAATGTAGAGCTGTTTCAAGGAAGAATGATTTGTCCAAACAGCACAAGCTGAAGAGTCAGAGTCACTGACCTCTCCGGAATGACATATACCTACTGTGTTATAACTAAGGTCCACAGTACTGAGACTGGGAAGGGTATTGAAGACTCTAGGGGGAAGCCTCTGAATGTCATTTAAGCTCAAGTTCAGATGTGTAAGGTTATTAAGTACACTGGCTGAACTTGGCTGGGCGTGAAGCTCCATAAGTCTATTGTTGCTTACGTCCAGCTCATATAGAGTGGCTGGCATACCCTCTGCTGTTAGATTGAGGGATTCTAAGCAGTTTCTTCTCAGCCTCAACCAGTAGAGGTGAGGCATTTTCTGAAGGAATCCCTCAGGGAAGTATCTCAGCTGGTTCCCACTGAGATCCAACAGTTGCACCGATGAGATATCTCCATGAAGGCTCTCATCCCAGAGGTCTGCTGTAATGTTGCTGGCATTTCTGCCCATGTTATAGTACTCAACATTAGTGGTCCAGTTTGAAGAATTGTTCACTGCTAGATGACTATAAAAGTTAATCTGGTTATTGGACAGTAGCAATGACCTAATGCGACTGTGAGTGGGAAGGAAGGGGAAAAACAGGAGCCGGTTGTTGGACAGATCCAGCGTCTCCAGCTGAAAGATCTCTGTGAGGTCTGAATTGGTTATGAACCATTCAATAAGGTTGTGGCTGGCGTTCAGCATCACCAACTGGGTCATTTCAAACTTCACCAAACATGGCAGAGAGTTAAAGGCCAAGTTAAGCCGCTGGAGCTTTTTTAGGTGATCAAATGCCCCATCAATTTCAAACAGCAGATTTCTCTCTAGATTCAGTTCCTTCAGCTGGTAAAGGTCTCTAAATGTGGATTCGTCTAACCTGAGCAGAACGTTCCCAGAAAGATACAGAAACTCAAGAGACGTGAGGTTTTGTAGCAGATCAGAAACCATATCCTCTGTGAGTCCATTACTAGATAAATCCAGAGTTCTTAGCCTGGTCAAAGAGCTCAGAGACTGAGCAAACTGCTTATGCCCATTGTGGAGCTCATTATTGGCCAAATTGAGGCTCTCTATCAGTGGGGAACTGGAGAAAGCTTTCTCCTCAACTGCCCTTAAACTGTTGCTTGCGCAGCTGAAGAGGCGAAGGGAAGCATACCGTGAGAGACAATCATTCTGTAACGTTAAGACAAAGTTTTGATTTAGAAACAGCTCTTCTATTTGTTGTGGCAAGTCACTTGGAACAGAAGAGAGCCCGTAGCTGTTACATAGAGCTGTGCTTTGACTCTGTAGGAACAGAGAGAGAAACAGAGAGAATGAGAGACAACATGAACAATGGAAAGGCTCTTAATCTCAAAATAGACATCAAAAGTAACCAAATTCAACCAGTATACATTGGTTGAAATATTACTTTAAGAGAGGTTTTAGGTAACACTATTAGTAAGTGTCACTGTTCCACATCTAGTTACTTCTAAATACACTTTTCAAAATATTGCTTGGTTTTACTGTACCACAATGTACAGTTAAATTACTTTGTATTTACAATATTACAATTAAAACTACAGAAATACTAGCGGGTGGAATTGCACACGACTAAATTGGGGAGAAAATTGGGTAAAAATAAAAAAAAAACAAAAAACAAAAAAACTACAGAAATAAAGAAACCCTAACACTAACTGAAAAACATGAAAACATTTTGCTACATTTTTACATTAATTGACTTTGTAATGCCATCAGTGATGTTTACCAATGACTCAAGCCTCAAAACTTTCTCTATATTATTTCTTATTCCAGAGTGAATTTTAAATGTAAATGCACTACTTTTTGTACCTGATGTTTAACTGCAAAATCTGAGAACCTAAGCAAACATATATCTTGATTACATATGTATACTGTGCAGAAGTCAAAGGCTACCCTTTATTTAGTTAATTTCCAGTAAAATGGGCATTACATACAAGTTTTAATTTTATGGAGATATTTTTGAGGAAATCATATATAAGATAATCCAAAACAGTTTCCAAAACTGCAGTTGGAAATAAAAATATTAAAGACAATCTGATAGACGACCAAAACTGTGACCATCAGAGAAACAGTCTTTGGGAGATAGGAGAAAATCTGTGTTTCTGTCAAACCTTCCACTAGGAGAAGACAACTCATTGGTATGTGTCTGACTGTAAAGAAGCCATTACTGAGAAAAGAAAATCTGCACTAGAACACTGAAACTGGACATCTGAAATATAGAGTAAAGCTTCATGGACAGATGAATCTAAATTTAAGTAATTTAAATAACTGAGATTAAGAACTGAAGGTTAAGAACTGACAGCCGAAAAACAACCACTTTCTAAGACATCTGAAATATGGAGTAAAGTTTCATGGACTGATGAATCTAAATTTAGGTAATTTAAATAACTGAGATTAATAACTTAAGGTTAAGAACTTACAACAACCACTTTCTAAGACTGGAGGTGTGAAAAAAATCTCTCAGAAAAGACTGGAAAAAAGAAAGGAAGCTGTAATAAAGTGTGGTCGCATAAATACTGAAAAATGTAATGTTATATTTAGGTGTTGAAGCTTTTGTGTAAATTCTGTTGAATACATGCTTCCCTGATGCTGAATAAAAAAATAAATAAATGTTTAATACTTAATATGTTCTGACTGGAAATAAAAGGGTGGTCTCTGACCTTTGCATAGCATTGTATATATATCGATTTTATTCTATTAATTTCCAAGGATACAATAGGGCCAAAATATAAATAAATATACAAAATGTATCATGATTTTTTGTTTTTCTGAAGTTTGTGAACCAGCAGGAACAGACAAAATGCACCAACAAAATTGTAGAACTGCAATTTTACAGTACAGTGATGAATAAAGGAAAAAAACAATTGGTAGAAATAAATTAATAAAATAAAATTATATTATAATGGGCCTCAACCTCTTGTTACAATTCCGCTTATACAGTTAATATACACTTGTTGTGTTTGTTTACTGGCTCTCTATGATTGATCTCAGTGTTCTTGTTCAGTGTTCTAGATGTACTGAATATACCAACAACATATTCTGAAATGTGTATCATGAATTATTGTTATAATGACAAAATGACATACATAATGCACAACTGTTTGCAAATCCCTGGTAAAGTTATATGTTTTGTTGATCTTCTAACTGAAAATAAGTTAACACTTAACATCTCTACATAGAACAAACTTAAATGTGACACTTTTCTGCAATTTTAGAGCACAATATCTATTTATGTATAGTTATTTAATTCTATTTATATTTATCATTAAAAAAAAAAACTTTACAGGCCATATTTATGTTTTTTGTCTGTTTTTCCAGTGTGTTAAAGTCAGCAAATAAACAGTAATCAACATTTTTAACATAAATCAATAAAACCAACAAGAAAACATGTAATAAGAAAATTAACAAAGCATTTACTTTGACCGGGAGCATCCAAACTTATGCATATGACTATATTGTCATATTGCACATTGTTTATTTCCCATTACGTCTAATTTTGATGTTTTCATTATTGTTTTCTTGTCAAATCAAACCATTATGTCTGATTTTCCATGTTTTTCTTACCAGTCTGCAGGGGGTGATGTGTGGATGGCCGAGGGCCCAAGGCACAGGCATTGATATAAAGTACAACAGCGTGGAGAGAACACTGAGGACCGGCATCTTATCATACTCGCTAAGAAGAAGGAACAAGAAAGTATTAGAGCTGTATTCATGCTAGTCAAACTGCTTCCCAAGAGACTTGGGGCAAACAAATAAAGATAGCAAGGAGCATTTCTGTTTTGTCTTGCAGGCATCTAATTTTGCAGTCACACATTGTTTTTCCAGTTTTTTCCCCGCTACAACCATTTATTTAAAGTTTCTCATGTTAGGATCATCTTGTTTATTTAGGCTACGTTAGCACTGCTTTTATTACACATGTTAAGAGTCTTATTATTATTATTATTATTGTTAAGAGTATTATCGCGAGTCAGCCTTTAGCTAAGATTCAGCCCTAATACCAAGTGAGTGACAAAATCCCTCCCTCTTAAACCTGTACGATAACTGAGCTTGGCATTGGCAACAGATTCCAATTTATTGCACATTTCTTTAAATTAACCACATTCAGAGTACAGTTCAGCAGCCTTAAACCAGACTCATGAACAAGAAATGTTATTTTAGTTAAATAATGAATCAATTAGAAGTAAAAATAGCTACTAAAACAAACAAAACAAAATAACCTTTAAAGGAATAAAAAAAAAAAAAGTAAAAAAAAATGTATGTGGTCAAAAACTCAAGGCAGTCCAACAGAGTTCCTTATAGAACTGGAGTTGAACAGCTATCAGCTACAAACTGAAGTTCTGTTTTTCTCTTTATGGGGTCCTTTTGGCATAAAAAAAAATAATGTAACTTGAATATGATGGTTATGAGCAAAGCAGTCCAAGTGCTGAACTGACACAACAGAATGAAAATAACCCCCAAAAATGAAATGGGAACTAACTGTGAATTACTAAATGGACGAGTAAGAGTCAGATTTCGTTCCTCACGAATACACTTGAGTATAAAAGTATTATCGTATACTTATCACAGAAAAGTACAAATTCACTAGATGTAGCACACGTAGGCTACATTTTAATGCTACCCTAAACAAGACTGGCACAATGGAAAAGATGACAAGTTATACCACTGGAAAATTGGAAAACTATTTTCAGTCACACTATTGTTTTCACTTTTTAACCACAATGCAATCACTAAGCTGGCGTTCATACCCAAAAAGACCAGGCTAAACTACATTACCACAAACGTCTGTACATTTAACGTTACTGCGCATGCGTCACAGGGTTAAGCTATTAGCCCAGGGTTGCGGGAATAGCCCTGGAGAGCCAGCACACTGCAGATCTTATCGCGCAAACCTCGTTTAGCACAACGACTAAACAGCTCAAACAAAAAGTGTTCAGAAGCTAAACTCGACCTAGATGTGTCTGAAGAGGCAAATTTTAAATCCACGTCTTTTGCATGACACAGCCAAGATTCACAGCAGTATTGCAACACTGCCAGAGTGTCTATTAACTAGCCTGTTTACTAACGGTCACACTTAAATGCATTTTACAGGCGGACAGCCCCTGCTTTAGCCTCCTGCTGTAGGGGCTGCTTGCGTGCCCTGCCGCCTGCGCGCCTCTCTAACCGCTACTGCTGTACTGTGGGTTGAATGGAGGTGAATGGAGTCCGAAGGCGCGCGCTCTTACCCCGCTGGGCTGCTTTGCGTCGTCCGCGCAGCTGCACCTTTCCCTGTACACCATTTCCCCGTTCTCGTCGCGAAATAGTGCGTTTGACCAGCTCCCTCGGACAAACCAAGTGCTTTAACATCTGCACCTCTTGCAAGCAAACCCCTTTTAGTTATTTGCGGAAGCAAGAAAGCAACGGAAGCCGAGTCACATGTGGCCTGCAGAGATAGAGGCTCCGCAATGCACGGTCAGAAAGATGCAGAGAGAAACACATTCTACACAAATGGGCCTGCTAGAGCGTGTCACAACAAAACAGTCTTGCCTATCAACGCTGCATGTAGGTTATGAAGGTTATAAATACTGGGCCATGTGAGACACTGGACAGTCATGACGTTGGTCATGAATGAACGTGCAGTGGTGAAGAAAGTATGGCTATAAAACGTTTAAAGAATAGAGATTAAAGACAGCTCTTAAATTCCTTTAGTCGTAATTCTGTTTTTAAATCCTTATACTCTTAATTTTGTTTTACTTAGCAGACCACAACAGCCTGCGTAAGGAACACACCCATACCACCCACTACTGGTTTCGCTCATCAGATACTACTTAAGAGGAAACCACGGAGAGCTCACACCCTTCCTGTGAAAAGTTGCACTCTCTTTGCTTACAAGAGGTTGTTTTCTGCTGCCTTCGTGCATCAGTAATCGCACATTTCAGGCGGCGTGAAAACATTCGCGTTTGTCGCGTTCAGCACCATGTTTTTACCGTGTTAACCAATGGTGCAAACAAAGAACATTTCTGTCGCTGTACTTGAGTAATTTGTCTTTTAGGCAGCTTTGTCCGCGCTACGCTTTGAAAAGAAAATCAGCTATTTTAAGGCCTGTCAGTAACAGTAAACGTAGATGGAACAAAGCTTAATTTTATTATTAGAATTATGAGGATTATTAGAATGGACGGTTGTGCACTAACTAAATAAATAAATAGAATTTACAGTTATAGAAGACGTGATTAACTGCTACTGAGAAAGAGTTCAATGTTTTTCCATTACAACCTTTCTGTTTTGCTTTCAGAGAACCTGTTAAACGATTTTGATTATTGTTTTCAATACATGCTGTTAAAGTAAGATATAATGCAAAAATTGCTTTCCACGTTTGAAGACTTTTAACAAAAATGTACACTCTTTAAAAACATGGTTCTTGGAGGGTTCTTTAGTAAAGAAGATGGTTCTATACTTGAATAACAACACACTTGTGTTTTAACACTTTTTTTGTGTCATACTGTTTTATGATTTAACACATTGTGCGTTTCAGTAAACACAAAATGTATTATCCATGATTGGGCACAGAAATATTTCAACAAATTTTGTGTTAAAGCGTTCTTCAGATTGATAGAGAATATGTCGTAGATGGTTATATGGAACCTTTTTTGAAAAGGGTTCTTCTATTATGTTAAGTTTGACATCATAACAATAGAAGAACCCATTGCAAGGTTCCATATAGCACCAAAAAGGGTTCTCCTATTGTTATGATGTCAAAGATAACACAATAGAGGAACCCTGTTCAAAAAGGTTTGATATAGAACCATCTACAACACATTCTCCATCAATCTGAAGAACACTTTCACAATGCAAAGGATGTTTTAATCATGCAAAATGTTCATGGTTCAATATAGAACTATATTCTTTACTAAAGAACCCCTTTAGAAATCATAATTTTTAAGTGTGTAGATTAAATAAGTTGATGCATTAATTTAATTGAAAACACCATCCAAATAATATGAATGATCAGAATGGACATAAATATAAATGAATTGATTAGATGCTATTGCAACTAAATTAAGTCAACCTCAAAAACATCATGTGCTTGGGTTACTGTGTGAATTGTGAATGGATATTGTAACATTCACCACCAAATATTTGTCAAAAAAATATTATTTACCTATTAGCTTGATGGCTAGCCATACTTGTTTTACTTAGTGTAAAGTGGAAAGCAACAGTTGGTAGTAACACAACCAGTAGACCCTGGTAAGTTATAAGGTTACATTTTGTAGTTTATCAGGTCTTACCATGTGGAAATAGAAAACAGCACAACTGTTGGATAATACTGGGCAGCAAAATGGCTTTAAGGTGTGCTAATTAGCACACCTTAAAGCCATTTTGCTGTCCCCATGGAAGCCCCCAGGAGGTAAATTTTTGTTAAGCACACAATAAAAAAACAAAATTAAAACAAATCGACAATCAAGTCAGTGGAGATTCTCATATTGAAGAGGCAGTGAAAAAAGCTTTTAAGCGGTTGCATTTCCTCACACTCTTGACAAGAAGTGGGGTTCCTGTTGAAGATCTTGTTGATGTGTGTAACACCATCATTAGGCCATGCCTAGAGTATGGGAGTATGCTGCTGAAATGCTTCCTTTTTGCTTTTAAAACAGCAGTTTAGAAAATTCTGAAGGTCTCCTTTTTATTTACTCTCAATTTTTGGCATGCTCAGGTATCACATTTTCAAAATGCAATTATGAGCCAATGCAAAAGAGGCTTTTGCTCCATTGTTTACAAACAATACACTGCTAAACCATCTGGAGCCTTTAATTGTGATTCTTTATGCGGTTCTTGCTCTTAGAGCTCTGTCTATGAATCCAAACATAACATGCCACCATCCACTTCCTATAGTGTTAAGAAAATTGAATACCAGTGCTGCCGCTTATATGTTCTGCATGGCTTTATAACTAACTTTCTTTGACAAAAAATGATAGAAATAAAAAAAGATTTGGTTGATTGTGAAAGTAAACAGGTTTAATCCAGGGTGTTCATTATTTTGTTCTTCTGTGATCTGCACTTGACTTTTAGCAATCTAACAGAAAAAAATATTATTTTCATTAATAGTGTGTACATATTGACCACTAAATCATGAATAATGCAAAACCCCAAAGCAGCACATGGACCATCAATCTTTTGCCTTTCAGTGTGCTAGTGCAGAGTTTCAGCACATTAACCGAATACATTGCACCTACCTATAAAGTTAGTTGATTAAACAATGCTTAACTTGTTTTCTTAAATATGATTAATTCCACCTCTCTTAGCATAGACTGATGGAATGCATTGAATGACCACAAGTAAAGCTGCCCAGTGGCTGTACGGAGCAAGCTGTCAGAAAAGCCATTTGATGAATGGGCAGTAGATACCCCCTTGTGGTGGTTGAGACATAGACAGCTGCTCCACTATATATCTGCTTAGCAGCTTGGTTCCTGAACCATGTTTCTAAAGGCAAAAAGAAAATGAAGACCTGAAAAACTAGGTAACAAATGGTTAAGACTACCTACATAGGAATTCTGTTGCATATATAAGTGCACTGAATTATTAATTTAAACAGAATACTTTTTAACAGCTTGTATCAATACTCACAGGATGACATCAGATGTTTTATGACGTAAATTGTATTGCAGACAACTTCAGTGAATGATATCTGTTCCATTTTTAACACTGTTATTGAAGGATAATTCCTATATAATTGAATTTACAAGGGGAAGCCTAATTAAAAACATCATATACACTGTATGAACAAAAGAATGTGGGCACCTAACAATTACACATACAAGTTTGTTGCACATCTCATTCCAAACCCATGGGCATTAATATGGAGTTGATCCCTCATTTGCAGCTCTAACAGCCTCCAGTCTTCTGGGAAGGCTTTCTACAAGGAGTGGAATGTATGAAGTATGTCCATGGGAATTTGTGCCCACTCAGTCAAAAGAACATTTGTGAGGTCAGGCATGTTGGTCATATTAGATGAGAAGGCCTAGTTTACAACTGACGATCCAATTCATTTCAAAGTTGTTCAGTGAGGTTGAGGTCGGGGACTGCATAGGCCACAGAAGTTCCTCCATGTCTTTATGGACCTCACTTTGTACACAGTCATGTTCGAACAGGACAAGGCTCTGTTGCCCTCTGTTGCCACAAAGTTGGAAAGATATAATTGTCTAAAATATCTTTTATCGTGTACTGCCCTACACTGAGTTTGCGTGGCTATGCTAGTGTTGTTCCTAGACGCTTCCATTTCACAATAGTAGCACTTTGTGAGTTCGGACCATGCCCCAAACTGAGCTTGAGACAGAGAAGGGGAGCCCTAGGAAACTTATGCAGGTGTTCTGGGTGACTTTGATGTCGTCAAAGGGAACCCAAGATTATGGCTAAGAACTCGAGTGAAGTGGACAGGCCTTTGGTCTTCTCAGTGCAGGCTGAAAATGGGTGGTGATATTCATATAAGTGGACGGCTAGATCCAGAATGATCATGAGGTAGTCATGTAACTCCTGACGCCTAGAAGGGAAGGCTGAACAGAGGATGTCACAGTAGATGGAGATGGCTAGAGGGAACTCAGGAACAGTCAGTAGCTCAGAGAAATGAAGGTCAGGGCATTTGAAGTTCAGCAAGACACCACAATGAATTGCAAAGACAGCTAAGCAGAATGCATTGTCTATAATATCTTCAGTGTGGGATCCATGTACTATTAAAGTGGGCCAGTTGTGCAGGCTTAGCCCAGTCGATTGGTAAATCGTGGAGTACTGTACAAGTCTCTTGTCGATTAATCATTTACAAAAAAAAGGCTATGGATACATCTACTTGGTTGTAGTTGATGTATTTTAAATGTGAGTAAAGGAAATAAAAGACACAGCGTTATACACAGTTAGGCCCAAGGGACAGGCACAGAGTTTGTGTCATTTCCACTGCTGTAAAGTAGTTATTGTGAGCTATAAGTATAAATGAACTGCAGAAAGACAATTTTTGATCTTTATATTTAAAATCCTGAATTTTTTCATATTAAATTATTCATATTTATTAAGGTGAAATTAATTGTGTGTGCAATTAAAACATGACAATATATACTGACAAAACTGCAAGTTTTTATATAGCAAAATGTCATTTTTATGGAGTGTTTTGTTTTTGTTTGGCTGATCATGACAAGTACATTTGGTTTAGTGAAAGTTAAGCGGAAGATCAGGTATGCTTGGGCTTGTTTTGACAGAGCAGTCAGGTTTAATTTAATGCACAGCTGCGTGTTAAATCCCTGAAGTCAATGGTTTAGCTGAACCTGTGTTAAACTGAAACTAAACTACTGACAAGGAAAGAGAGCTAAAGACAGAATTAGAACATAGCATAAGTGCAAGTGCAAAACAATACATTTCAAGAAGAGCGAGATAAGTATTAAGTACTTTACAAAGAGATGGGTCCAGTCTGTATTTGACGACAGCGAGGGACTCTGCCGTTCAGACAGCCAGTGAAAGTTCGCTCCACCACCTGTGTACCAGGACAGAAAAGACTCTTGATGCTTGTTTTCCTAGCATTTTGATGAATGGCGGGCCAAGGCGAGCCGTACTTGAATCTTGAAGTGCTCAAGGTATTTCCATTTTTGACTTTGTAGGCAAGCATCAAGGTTTTACATCTGATAGGGGCTGCTACAAGCCAGTGAAGGAAATACAGCAATGGAGTAACATAAGTGAAGTTAAGAACACTGAAGACCAGCTGTGCTACTGCATTCTGGATCAGTTGCAAGGGCCTGATGGCCTGCATAAAAAGAACAGCCAGAAGTGAGTTGCAGTAGTTAAGCTTGAGATGACATGAGATTGAACAACCCCCTGTGTGGCTTTTCTAAAATCTGCATAACCAAGTTAGGTTTGCAGCTAAGAATGATAACTGGTCATCCAGAGTCTCACACAAAGTCTTCTTGCATCTTCAGATGGAATTGACCAAGAGTTCACAAATGAGATGCCAAGATCATGGTGAGGACGTTACAAGTCGGTTTGTGAAAGTTTTGAGCAAAGTCCCTCTCCCAAATGTATTTCATAACTCCATTTACAGTTGACTGAAGCAGATCTAGCAGGCCAAAATTTTACAACTGACTTGTAGCAGAGGTGGCATCCTAAGTAACTGCCACATTTATAGTCACTGACCTCTTCAGTACAGCCCATTCTACAATGTTTGTTTATGGAGACTGCATAGCTATGTGCTTGATACACCTGTTAGCAATGGATGTGGCTGTAAAACATGAACTCAGTAATTAGGAGGGGGTTTCACGTACTTTTGTCCATATAGTGTATGATGGAAGATTTGATGCCCTCAAGATAAAGTGATGACTTTCAGTGCTAATCTTCTGTATATGTTCTGTATCACTTTAGCTTGAAGGATCTTCCATGGAACTAATGCAGTATATTAAGAAGGCTTTTTCATCTTACAAATGGAACAAATGTTCAGTACTTTAGTATAAGGCCTCTTATGTACGTGTTATGAAGTCCCTCTGTAAGTAGCCTTAAAAAAAAAGCATATGTTCCCAAAAAGTATAACTGTCTAGTACACTTTTACAGACTGGCACCATACAGTTTATTTACAGGTTCCATGATCTCAATCATACGAAGGATAAAATCTAATAAATAAATATCATACACTAGTACATCACAATTGAGCAGTACAGTAACATTATTACAATAGGTTTCTTTTGGATTTCCTGCACAAACACCAATGGTGAAAGACAGCTTTGACTATACTGCATGCAAAATACTAACTCCTCTAGTGAAGCAGCCTTGCTCTTAGGTTCCAAATGGTCAAAATGTATAGAGGTAATAATAACATTATTTTGGCATGTCATTTGCCTACACATCTGTTGGGTTTGTGGCGCACAGTGAAATTCTAAAGCCGTCCCCTCATTGTATCAACAGAGTACTTACAGGCCATCACCACTGTGTTGTAACACCAATGTGTTACAAATGCATTCTGTGACTGTGGATTACAGTTAGAATTAAGACTAGGGGTACCTGCCATCTAATCTGGTTGATTAACAATGATTATGAGAGCCCAGTGTCTTTTCACAAATTAGGTTAAAATCAGTTTTAAAAACAACTGTCTTTAGCTATCAGGAAAAGTATCCAAAGACCTGCAGAATCCATGGATGCGTGCTGTGGAGAGCCTCATTCATTGTGCCCTTCGTAAAAATGCAGATTTCTACTCAGAAGGCTTGACTTTCACTCACTGCTCAGAGATATTTTTTATGCCCTGTAGAACATCTCCTTGGCACTTGTGATGTCTATGTAGCACCGAGGTGCTCTTCAGCCATCCAAAGGTTTTCCCAGGTAGACCATAGTAACTTCAGTGTTACCATACACAGCTGAAACTGCAGGAAAAAGGCAGGTCTTGGGAAGCCCCCGGAATGCCACACCCAGAAACTCGAACCCTCGCTCAAAAGCCAGTGTTTTGTCATCCATATCAAGAATCACACGTATTCTCTCCCCTATCTGCAACAAAAAAGAACAGCACATAACATCAAGGTTTCATATTACATGGTCCTGAAAAGAGAATTCCATGAAAAATTCACGTGATGATGCCTTGTCAATTTGCAGATATTAAACCAACATTCATAAAGCAGTAATTGGACAAAATGAATTTGTGGTCATGTGACCTGATGTCTCCTGGTTTCCTTTTTTTAATTTAAATCCAGTCCAGTGCCATAAACCCACGTCCTTTATACACTGAACACGATTTATTTGGACATCAATAAATTAATTCAAACAAAGAAAAAATGTTGCAAAGCTATAGTCAGCTTTGTATTCGCCAGTTTCTTGTTTCTTGTTTGTTCCCACCTTAAATGGTGCAGCAGTTAATTTTAGGTGCCAGAATGTAACTGATACTCTCACTTAAGTATATATTTTTCTGGTATATAAATTTGTCAAACAATTTTCATTCACTGTTCTGCAGAAGGAAGTTTAATCTTACACCAATTTCGTGTTATTGCTTTTTTGCTGTCTATCAGAAGTATTCTTGTTAAATATTTGTGATTATCCATAACATGATCATTTAAATCTCCAAGGTATATAACTTTGCATTCGTGGGAAACTGAATAGCCCAGAATGTTTTTAACCACATCATATACATTTTCCCAATTTATTACATTTCCAAAAGATGTGTGTATGACTGGCCTCCTTACTCCCACACATCCTCCAGCATATTTCAGGTGTTATAAAACAGCAGGTTAAAATTTTCTGTTCCAATTCTTTCCATATCCTTAAATATGTGGTCGTGTGATGTGTTACACAAGTGTGTTACACAAGTTTTGTCCGTTCTTTCTCTGTAATATAAATTCGTAGCTCTCTGGTAGAGGTTTGACATTCCCTCAGGCTGCAGTAAAGCTGGGGCATCACCTTAAATTTTGTCCCACTGTATGTCTTCACTACAGCATCTACCACTGTATTTAAAGGCTTAAAAGTCTGTGTGTTTTGTATTTAAGTTCTTAGATGCAAATATCTAAAAAAAAATCTCTCTCTCCTAATCCGTAATTCTTCTTTAATTCTGGGAAACTCATCACATTTCCATTCTTGACAATTGTACATACTGCAGTGATCCCCATTTTCTGAAACTCTGGTCAGTCAGGCTTGGTTTAAATCTCTCATCACAAGCAAACCAGCTTGTAAGTATTATTTGCTTTTCAAACTTATACCGTTTTATTAAATCAAACCACATACATAGTGTATGGGAACTTATTGGATCTATTAAATCTTGTAATAACTTTATTCGCTTTATAAGCAAGTTTTATATTGCTGATAAAGGACTGAACAGGAAATTGTTCTACTGTCTTCTCCATGCCTTTTCACTTTTGCACTATAGCTTTCATCATGCCATTTCATTAATGGTCCAAATTGTGCTGCCTGAAAATAACCTATAAGATCTGGTAGTGTCATCCCACCCTTGGCTTTGGCCAACTGTGGAGGTGACATGATTATTTTCAAGGTGTTTCATTGTACAGTACTGTGCAAAAGTCCTACATGCTTAAGCAAATTGCTTAAAACCATCTATTTTGGCAGTAAGTGTGTTTCTACTTGTAAAAACACTATATAACAGAATAAATGCAAACAAACATTAATGCAAAAAAAGATTTTTTTTTGTCTTAGAAAATGTAGTTGATATTTTGTGAGCTAATTAGAAGAATTTACAGTGGTATGCAAAATGTTTGGATATCCCTAGTCAATTCACATGTTTGTGAAAATAAGTTAACACATCCTCAACAGACAACACATTTCTGCATATTTTTTTTACTCTTTATATGCTGTATGAATAAATTAGAAAAAAACATTTTCAGAAACAAGACAACAGAACTGTGGCAAATGATCAGCCAAGGTAGAGTGACTAGAAAACACACCAAAGTCTTTAAAGTCTTTAAAGGGGAACTCTGGCCAAAATTAAAAATCTTACAATGGCTACAGCCCTGTTTCGATTCTTTTTCAACTTGCCCTCACTTCAACACTCTACTTAGATGTGCATCACACCTACATTACACAAAAGGCCTCTCGTGGCAGAAGAAGAGGATGGGACAGAGAGGTGCGGATTACTTAAACAAACGCACTCCTCCTTGACAGTTCGGCCTAAACGAGCTCGCTATGCAAACTTTGTAAAACAAAATGTTTTTTTTTAAGATGACATCCTTTACTTGAGCTAAAGAAGTAAAAGAACAGTCCTTAAGATGACGCAAGGGATTGCCTGAGGGGAAACGATGGCCCAATCCCATTTCACCCCTTGCCCCTACCACTTAGCCCTTTGTTTTGCGCGTTCACGTATAGGGTTAGGGTGTCCCAATTTTTGTTGAGGTAGAGGGGTAGGGCGAAGTGTTAGGGCTACATGGCCCTCCAAACGGAGGTTTTTTTTTTTTTAAGAGGCACACTCCAAACAGAGTGTTATGAGGAAAAACATAAAAACCGGCAAGATGGCTGAGCGAGCGACCAAAGAAATCCACAAATGTGAGAATTTTCTCTGTTAAAAAATCACGATAATCATTGTATTATCTTAGTTTAATGGCGTTTCAATGTATTATGGTCCTTTTCTTCATAACAAGCATAAAAAATCGCTATTAGCATGCTAATGTCTCAGTAGCTAGCTAGCTAACTTTCCCGTTCCACCTTAAATAGTCCAGCAGTATTGACGCCTGAAGCGCCAGAATGTAAATGCTGCACCATTTAAGGTGAAACGGGAAAATCTGAACAAGAAGCCGGTGAATAGACTTCGTATCACCAAAGAATTAGCAGTGGGCAATAATAAATAATTGTCCTCTTTGAAGCATATGATGCCCTAAATGTAACTCAAGCCCAGCAGCGAGGGCGCTGAAATTTTCCCTCCTCTGCTATCACTGAAGACAGGCTGGGTCATCTACAGAGCACCGTTAGCAGCCTGTTAATGAAGCAATTTCTTTTTTTTTTTTAATTTGAGGGTTTCCCCATTTCGTAGAGCAAGATTTCAACCACTACCCCTTGTAACTCAGTTCCACAGGGTTAGGGTGACACTCGAAAACAAGGGGTAGGGGTAAAAAGAAGAAATGGGATTGGGCCGACGAGTACAAGTGGACAAGGGCTTGTTAAAACTGGTATTGAAACGGTGGACAAATCTGTTGTAAACATGTCTATTTGCCTCCTACAGTGGTCCTAAGAGTGAGATTTTCTCGTTAAAGACTAAGAAAAACCCTTTCTGATGATATATTTTGAAGGTCGAAGAATTTTTTTTTAACATGTACTTCTGGGTGGACACAAAAGGGCAAGCTGTGACTTTTCTTCCCACTAGTTGGCGAATGTAAAAGGAAGCAAGACAGCTAATGTTTCTGCTAGGGTGCTAGTCTTGCAGGACCCAACATAACCTCTTAACAAGGATACACCATGTGCCAGTGAAACCCACTGTAAACATGGCCAGACCCCCACTAAAACCCACCCCCAAATTCCTGTACATTATGCTCTTTAACATCCACAGTACAATCCATAACTTAAGAGAAACAAGATTGCTAGCGAAGCACTATAATTAGCTTACATTCATTCTTCAGAATTCAAATTCAAATATTCTTGAAAAGTCTTGTCTTGTTTGCCAACAGTTTTATGATAAGTGTAGTTTAACAAACCAACTGTTTACAACTTGATACATAAAACAGTGTAGCATAGTCTAGTTAAATGGAACTGTTTTGCCCTTGCAAGAAGTAATGTTAATTTTTACTACATGTAATGTGTTCTCCATACACACAATATTCTCATTGGACAATGCTGATGAGCGCACATCATGTTACATCTTAATTTCTTAGTCAGTGCATCAGTGCATTTCTTTATCACCATGGGTTGTATGATGTACTTGTTTAGTGCATGCTGGGCACTGTAGAGAGAGAACAGACAAAAATACAAAAATTGTACAAAACTGTGAATCATGTCAAAATCAATGAGCCTGAAGAGCGCAACACTGTGCTACAGTATATTGTACAACATTACAAATAACATATGAAATGGTAGTTAAGGCTGGAACACCCGTTAAATTTCCTATCACTGCAGTTATAAGGGTTATACCATAAACTTCTTTAAGAATCTAAAAAAGAAAATCTAAAAAATTCCTACTGTATGGCAATTAGACTGCCTTACCTGGTATTTGGGCGCATTGTTGCACTGTGGGAAGTTGCCGTTGACTTCGCCGTTGTGAAGCAGGTTATTATCCACCAGATTCCACCCCCAGCTCTGGTCATCGCTGCCCAGCAGGGCTACGTAGCCTTGGCACTGCATGGGCGCCCTCTTGGTGGCAATGCCAATCACTGCCACAGTGCCAAGCGGCCCCTCCCACCAGATCTCCCAGGCATGCCTCCCCTCCGTGAAGCCAATCTTACCACGAGCGCCATCTGTACTTTGGGCGACAGGGTTGCGGTGGAGGGTAAAACCATTTTTCTTCACATACACGTTCCTAGAGCAGTCATGTGAGCTCAGAGCATGCTGGAAGGACTTCAGCTGTACATAGAGAAAGAAACAGCAGGAAAGGATATAGTTCTCAGGTTTCCAGGCAAACACATCCACATACATTATCCTTCTAATTTAGAAACAGCATATAGCAAATAGCAATTGACAATAAAGACTGCATGCAGAACATTCTAAGACGTTTCTTAATCTTCCTGTTAAGGATTACATCTAAAAGCTAGTAGCGGGCCTAGAGATGGTGCAATACCACTTTTTCTGATTCTGCTATTAAAACCTTGAGGTGGAGAACGACTAAGGGGAATTCAACCATTTTTTTTATTTCTACACACAGAAATAATTATGATGTCAAAAAGTCATTCACAATGATTTGATGTGAACTGCTCCATTCTTACTAAGTCAGAATTTTCACAGCAGTGGTGATGGGAACCAGATGTCCACATGCCTCTAAATGCTCCGTCAGAGAAAGTTATTACATGAAATGGTTAGGAAAACACTGTCTGAAGCCTGAGGTATTGTTTTGCAAAAATCTGAGACAAGATTTTGGCCTAAAACGTATTTTTAAATCATCAATTCATTGTGAAATGGTAAAAAATATATGTTTTCACTATCATCACTATTATACCGTTAACTTTATGCAGAGACAGCAGTGTTCTAAAATCCTTGCAATGTTGCACTGGTCCAGGTGTACATTTTAGTTCTAGAATTCATAAATATCAAGAAAACTACCCATAAAATACCACAAAAATGTGCTTAAATAACAGATCTTTGTGATACAGTAGTGCAACAACAGATCTGATGATGTAATATTTTATTACAATGAGCAAGTGCCAATCTGCACACTTGTGTTCCAGCAACCAGGACCCTCAAATAGATGCTTACACAAATGAACATCCATGACTGAGAAAGACCCAATTTCTCAATAAAATATCTCACCAGCTGGCATCCATAAACACTAAACAGATAGCCTTGATTCATCTCCTTCTTTTTATAATGAATACCATCCATTGTAACTGTTAATAAATAGATCATTCACAACCTGCAACATAATACCTTAATTAAAGTTTACAATTTTAAATAGGAAGTCAATCAAATATTTATGTTACTGTTTGATGCTAATGGTGGAGTGGCACACCTTGTGAGCATAAACTTATCATACATTGTAATTTTATTTACTGAAGGTAATTTTTGTAAGGTGTCATTGAATAATTTGCACTGGGGCCTATAAGACTAATTATGACACTGTTTAAGGCATCAAAAGGGCAAAACAGCAGCATTAAATATACAAAAATATTGTTTGTGTACTTTGAGAGCAAAATGTGCTTGGCTGAACACAGACTTCCCAGAACTTAACCACTACTCAAACCACATGATTGCAATTATGATGATCTTTCAGAGTGTTAAATTACTTCGTGTTAGTACTTGAAAAAAAATATAACCTTCTTTTAAGAGTAATGATTGCAGAAACTTTAACAGAATTCCTAGCTTGCATCACTTGTAGCGGGCTAAAGCTAATGAAAACTGCAGTTGTTTTAACTGGACTGAGTACAGTGTACGTAAAAGTCAATGCAAGGGTCACTAATGATGTCCACAAAGGCTTGGTATGGCTGTAGGTTTTCAAGTAGAGACGCACTTCATTGGCCAGATGATTAGTTACAAGAGGTGTGCTCCTGCTTACACTCTCAGGAAAAAATGTAGTAAACGGTCACTTGGGTGGTTCCCTCAGGGGTACATCACAGTACCTTTAGTGAGGCAACATACTGGTACCATAAACCACTGAAATTATATTTTCTAAGCTGTATTGACTCCACACACCCCGTCCCATCTCCAGGCTTTTTATTTTATTGTTCTGTTTTAAAACATCAGATTATGAAAATATACAAATATGTACTTTTCACTTGGAAAAACATATTTAAGGTACACAATTGGACCTTAAAACCACTGTTGTACCTTTGAGGGTACATTTACAATGTTTGTATCTTGATGAACAAGAAATGTACCTTCACTGCACCTTTATTTCTAACAGTGTAGTTCCACAGCCACACCTGTCCTTCTTTGCGGATAAGATTGATCTAGTCCATCATTATACACCAGCAGGGCTGTGTTCAAAATATTGATATGACAATATATTGTAGATAATACATGCAATGATACACGGATGGCTGTACAGATATTTCTGAATATTTTTTTAAATGCATTCTTTATTTACATTTACCACCTTGCAGAGTCAAGCTCCAACCCTAATTTAATAGACCTGATCAAAGCGGTGAAGGCCTTCATGTGCATCTGAATATTAGAGCTTTTTGGGTTGCACCTGAACTCAACTACATGGTGGTAGATCTCCAGGACCATGACAGGGCACCCTTGGTATACATTATATGAGTGTGTCCCAACCCTGGTCCTGAAGTACTCCTGTCCTAAACATTTTTCTTTCTCTAAAACAAACAAAGCCCTTACTTTATTAGCTGATTCGTTGGATCAAGAGTCTGGAGCAGGAACTACCAAAATGTGCAGGACAGAGGTACTCCCGGACCAAGACTGTTAAACACTGTACTGTAGAGTTGCCCAATAATGACGACTGAGATCCAACTCCTATTGCCAATCCTGGCCCTGGAGATCCAACACACCTAGCTCTAATATCCAGACGCCTTCATCATCTAGATCAGGTGTTGGATTAAGACTGGAGAAAAACTCTGCATGCCTGGTAGCTAGATTTCCAAGACCAGGACTGTCCACTCCTGCTGAATTGAGTACAGGCAGATTCACACTGGCTAGTGTTCTTACTAGCTAGCGTGCTAAAAAAACACAAATACGCCAAAAACAAAGCAGACCATGTTAACGATACACTGCGCAGTACTTGTTTTTTAAGAACGGCATGTCTTCTTGTGACAACGTGACCATCCCAATACTGACTAGCAAGCCAGATAGCTAACATCTATTAGACCATGTATATAGTAGTCATTTTTTGTTTGCGGCAATGCAAAGCTCGACAACTACACCACAGAAAGTGGATTCAGTGTTTACCTTTCCTTTATAAGTTGGCAGGTTACAGAGGATATCTGAGCGTAGAGCCTCTTCGCTGAGCAACCGGGCGCACAGGCTCCGCCACACCTCGCTGTTTTCGTCGGCGAGGCAGTTGTTCCAGTGCCAGCAAACCAGAGAGCACCTGGTGAGGTCCGACAGGTCCAGATAGGAGAAGATGTGCTCTAGGACTCGGCTGGGAAGCCTGGCCGCGATGCCCGAGCCGCCTGAGGCAAATATAGTCGGACCGCAGCCAGAGGCAGCCGCTCCAGCGCCAGCCACGCCGGACATGTCGCCGGACAGCGAGGGACTTGTTAACAGCGTTTAGAGCACGAACATCAACTGCTCTCGGGCTTTTAGGAGCCAGTCAAAGCCAAATTACGGCTCAAAATAAACATGAATGGACCAAGAATAAACAACAGAGCTCATTACGTTGTGTGGTTTCAGGCAGACGACCAAATCTGTAACTATTGTAAAGGTCTTGGCAGGACGTGTTGTATTGAAAATGCGGTGATCAATGCGTCTAAATCCACATAATCTGCATATGCTCTAATAAAACAACTAATATCTTACTAATTTTAGTAATCACGAAAATTCATCACGTGGCAAGTATTCTTTAGAATGCTCGCAACATTATTTACGTTTTGTTTCGCCTGTAAGGACCTGCCTAACAATTACGCCTGTTATTGGGGGCATTTTTACCGACAGATGGCGCCAGAGATACTCTCACAAGCAGTTGTCCATGTATCAAAAATAATACAGTCACCACCCACTTTCTTAGAAAGACATTTACTTCCGCTCACTGGGGGCCACTGTATAAACAGTACAGGTACAGAATAGAGCCCATCTGTTGTCTTGCAAACTTCGTCAGCCACCCCTACCCCATTTTTTACTGATCAGTTTCAGACCACAGGACCACTAATGAACAAACAGTATTTCTCAGTACACCAACGACACCAGCATGTGGTCAACATTAGACCAGTGCACTTAATTTATACCAAAAACAGATGTGTGTACAAGGGTTCACAGAAATGCACATTTCAAAAAATTACCCCCCTCCCCCCCAAAAAAGTAGTTGCATGCAGAATAGCTTATCTTATATATTTTATTCAGTTAACATGTCCATTACAGTCTTATTAAGCAGAACTTCCTGGCAAGAGAAACCCAATTCCAATTTTCTCTAAACGTACATGACAATTATTGTCAGCAGCTGAAGATTAATTAATTTGTCAGCCATTAACATTTTATTGTATTAAATACAGATTCAGCTTACTTCTCCCTAATTGCTTAATATCACTCCTTGTTTTTTCCTACAGTGTCCTAACACATTTACAATGACATTTGAATGTATTTGCCCAAATGTCACAGTTGCTCTTTGGTACATCAACTCAACTGGATATCCGGTCTCACTTTCAGTTCAGCTCTTCCACTGCCTGCATTCTTTGTGCAAATATTGCTCAGAGCAACATTTCCCTTTAAAATCATTCATTTTCCTACAGTTTAGAAAAAAGTTGTATGGCACCATCCATATTCACAGTTTCCTGTGGTTTCTCCCGAACAACCTGAAAAAAAATGTTTAGACAAACTTTTAGCCAACTCTGATATTTGTCTGGATTATAAGAGCTCATTTCAGGATGAATACTAATCAGTAAATACCTCACTAGAACTAGCACGTTAAACCACAGATGGGCTCAACCAACAGACAGTTTATCCAATACAGCTGGCTAATATTAAGGTTCCCTGGATTTATCTGCACTGAAATAAATCCTACTGATAATGCAACAATGATGTCTCTTCAAAATTTTGTATTATTTAACTGTTATAGGGTTACGCTATAAGACTATGTGGCATATTTATATATGTTTCTGCTGTTGAGTTCACAGTCACCTGACATTAATAGCCAGTAAAACAATGTTTAACAAAAACTATTTGTGTATTTTATTTATTTATACTATATATTTTATCATATGGTTTTAACTATTGTTAGAGTTTCTAGCTCCTTGAGATTAGTACTGGTTTCAAAATTTTCATTACAGTTAGGCCCTTATCTTCCAGCCAGTCAATATAAAGGGTTAAGTTCATTTTAAAGAGGTTTTGAGTGTATTTTCATACCACTACTTAAAGGATGCACGGGAAAATTGTGTAAGGCAATTTTACAGTTTGGTTACCAGACTTCATCTAAAAACCTTAATTCAATAATATTTCAGTCTTAGGCTTCCAGAGCCAGACCAAGAATGCCTCACATATTACCTGTTGTGTCAGTATAAAGTTCAAAAATGACAAGAAAGCAACACTATAAATTTTAGTAAATAAATTTTGTAAATAATTTTTTCCTGGCAAAATCAAGGCACATCAGAGAAGCACGTACACACATAAAAAATGTTTACTTACCACATTTAGGAATCATTCAAAAACATAATTCATATTTATGCAATACACTATGTCATTCATGAATATCAGAAAAAAATCTCACAAAAGCAAACTCCTCATCAAAGGCCACAATGAATGGAATAAGATTTCATGTTACCATTGTTTTCTCTTTAGGTTCTGGAGCTGTAGATTTTGAAATACTTTTTACGTTCCTTTGGATTGCTGAGAAGAGCTGATTCAGGTTCTCCACTTTTTCACTCTTCAGGGTGTTTATCTAATGATAAGAGAGTAAGATGATTTCTCATTTATCATATTTCATTTATCACTTACAAAGAAAACCAACAGAGCAAAACATCCACACCTGAACAGAGAAATACTTACATGTTTTAAAGAAGTCTTAATAGGCTTTGTTTTGGTCTTGGGCTTGACCTGCTTGTTAGCCATTTGAAACACATTCATCTGTTTTTTGCCCTTCTGTTTATTTTTAGCCATTTTTCCTGAAAGGTGGAGCATAAACCCAGATGGCAGCATTAGAAGGTATGCACATGACCTTGCCAAACATTGGTACCAAACAAATACCAAGTAACATCAGAGTGTAAACAGCTACTTTAGCTGGCTAATGCTGGTATCTGACATACAGTGCCCTCCACAAATATTGGCACCCCTGGAATTAATGAGCTAAATGTAGAAAATAATCTTACTTAGTAATTCTTTTTGATCTTTCATTCAAAATATTTGTAATATCTAACCTATTTTAGATATAATTATTAAAAGAAAAAAACTAAATCCTAAAAAAAAATACTTTTCCTAAACTGCCACAACTATTTTGAAGTGAAATCTAACTGAAGTTTATTCCCATTCATATTTTATGTTTTTAAGTTCACCTGAGTGAATTGGAACAATGGTCACTGGGGACTATATATGAGATACAAACATAAGCCAAATTCTCTTAGTCATCGATTGTTATGTGAAAGACCAGAGAACACAGCATTGATGTGCAAGAAAAAGTTGCTGACCTACAGAAATCAAGAAATGGCTACAAGAAAATAGCTAAACAGTTAAAAATGAAAATTAAAAAGCTTAAAACAACTGGAGACGTTAAGAATCTGCCTGGAAGAGGTTGTATGTCTATACTGACCCCACGCATAGTGAAGAGGATGGTTTGAGTTGACAAAGAATCGCCAAGGATCACAGATGCAGACATTAGTTAGCTCTTGGGGTTAGAACATCTCTCAAACCACAAACACCCTGGATATAACCACAAGTTTTCTGGGAGGTTTACCAGAAGAAAGTCTCTACTGTCAAGGACCAACAAACTCAAGCTCCTACAGTTAGCCAAATGTTACTGGAACTGTTCTATGATCAGATGAGATCAAAATAAAGGTTTTCTTTAATAAACACCAGAGCTGAGTTTGGCTCGGACAAAGATAGCCATGCAGAAAAGTACTCCATCCCCACTGTGAAGTCTGGTGGTGGATCTGTGATGTTTGTGGGGCTGTATTTCTTCCAAAAGCCCAGGACAAATTATTCTGACACATGCTACCACAGACACCATTAAGTGCCAGCAGAAATAAATTCAAAAGAAGCTTATACTAGACCATAGTTTGGATCTTCCAGCAGGACAATGATCAAAAGCACACCTCAAAATCAATACAAAAATAATTCACTGACCACAGAATTAAGGTTTTACATATTTCTTAGTCCTTTTCTTGCAGGCCATCTTCACTAAACCAGACAGCTCCACCATTGTCGTTTTCCTAAGGTCGGCTATAAACGAGAAAGGTGTAACATCAAATATGTACGCTAGAAATTTTCAGTATATAATTATCCTCTCTGTACTACTAAGAGCCAGTGGGAAAAGGATCTTGATGAATAATTGGGGGATGACATATGGGCAGCAATTTTGCATTGTGTTCAGTTATCCTCTTAACTCAGACATGGCCTGATACAATTCAAAATCCTTTATCATACTCACTGGAATGATAATAATGTTAAGCTTTCAAAAAAATTCCATGTCACTATTGTCAGAGGAAAACCTTGTATGTCCAAAATGACAACTTTACCCTTTTCAACTCTGTGGGAGCACCGGTGGTTCCAAAACACGTCATATTCTTCATAACTTTCATATTTCATAAGCTACATTCAAAAGGTGGGTGTCATATGAGAGCTGTAACTGTCTTCTTTCCAGTCAAATAGATGGGTAATGTAATTTTAAACCCTTACAATAAAAGAAGCTGAACTCGCAATTTTTTTTCTACTGAAAGTTGACCCATTTTCCACAAATCTGAGCTATAAACTGAATCCCAGATGGTGTCTCTTCAGTGATATGCTCTGTAAAAATTATTTTTATAAAAAGATACAAAGAGCGTCTTAGATTTTTGGCTTTCAGCAGTAAATTGTAAGCATATAACAATATGTGTATGATCATAAAACACATTTTCTGTTAATTTAAAGGGGAAGCTTATAGCAAAAAAAAATTAAATAAATAAAATAAAAATTTACATTTATTTCATGCAGTTACTGAATAATTTCCCTTATAATTTGGGCATGTAAATTCAGATGGAAAAAACAAAATATACCCTGGAGAATAAGAGGTTATAGCAGAAGGAAAAAACCTACTCTACTTTTAATGTAAGTCAATGGAACCAGACTTTTTTCCATTTTGGGTAATTTCTTTTAGTCCATTAATTCATCATGAAATGTACATATGATGTAAAGGACAACAGGTATTTTCAAATTATGTCAAAAACTGAAAAACGTCAAAAATGGAGATACAAGGTTTTCTTCCGACAACAGTGATATATAAGTTGTCTTGTCAACAGGCCCCAGCCTCTTCAATCCATATGTTTTTAATCTTGTCCTTCTCTTCATAAATTTTGGTCTGATATACTCCAAGTTCTTTCTAAGATTCTGAAAGTACCAGTTGATTCTGTAATCATCTTGTTTGGAGTGTTGCCATCTATTCTAAGCTACAGAACGGTTTTAATGGCATTTGCTACTCTATTAGCTAGAAGGCTTATTTTACTCAGGTGGAAATCACTTACTCCACCATCTGTTTTTTTGTTGGCTGCAAGATCTCTTATATTTTGTTAAACTTGAGAAATTGAGAACTACATTATGAAGCTCCACTTGTAAATTGTATGAGATATGGTATCCTCTTCTTGAGTATTTAACATTAATCCAGTTCCCCTCTGCTACTTTATAATTCAGTACTTTGTTACTGACTTGTTGCACTTTGTCAGTGTCAGCTGTTTAGGGGTACTTGACAAATGGAGGTGAAACAGATTTTTTTTAACAAGCTTCTCATTTTTATAAGAATTTTATGAAATTCTAATGTTCTGAATTGTCCTTAACTGCTAGTGTTCATCAGATAATTTTTCTTTTTCTACCATTTTATAAGCTTTTCTCACAGCCCCAGATACAAATTGTCCTGTGGTGTGTCATCAAATTGCAGTAAAATAAAAAAATATACAGAACAATAATTTTACATATCTATATTTGTATTCAAAGTTTAAGGATCCCTTTATGCAAACTATAATAAATACTTTGCATGTGTGCATTATTTATAGCTGTTTTTCCAATTCCATTCGTTACTTGTAGCCATTGTTATCGTTCACAGTAGTCGAACTATCTTATAAACGATAACATCCCGATGAAAATGCTCCATTTTCTTTTTATAGTTAAAACACATGAGGATTGGATTAACTGAACCTTCATAAAAGCCATTTAATTTTTTTTTTTTTAATTATGTCACACTACATGACATGATGTCACATTACAGGACAAGATGAGACAAGATAAGAAATATTTTTAGTAAAAATGTATTAAGTGCCTTTAGAACAATGAAATTTATATAATTTACGCAAATAAATATCAGACAAAATATTAAAATTCTTAATAATCTTTGAAAACCTTTGAAATCTTTCCTTTAAAAAACTTGTTTGCGAATGAAATATTGATTAAAAGTTAACATTTGGAGATATCACTTTTTTCATATTAGATACAGGGCCATAAACGGGACACAATGAAATTATTGACATTTTGGATACAATGCTTTAACAGGATTGTCATGAACAAGACATTTTCCTGTTGTGACTGGTTTCATTTACATTAAGTTAAATGCACTTAAATTCCAACTTTGTAAAACTTATAATTAAGTATTTTGTGAGAAAAAAATCATTTAAAAAATCCTACTGATTACGCTGACCCTTTTAATGCAATTCTGTTTTGCTGTTTGTTCTGTTTTACTTTTTATTTTAGTTCAAGATTATCCAAAAATAGCAAATAAGTGCCCAACAAACCTCCCTTCCTATGCTGATAGATGCTGGACTAGAAATCTAGGTTACTGCAATAGGGAACTGAGTACTTGAAGAGTTTTAGGCCACTCTACTCAACTGTGCTTACAGCTGCCTATTTGACAACAAAACGCTAAGAAACTGACGGCACGGTTCTCATTAGAGCTGTACGTCAGAAAAACATGTAAGCAGAAACAGGAAAAATAGAAGACAATGTGTAACTTACAGCTCAAAGAGGTCTCTGCAAACGTGCTAAATTGGTTCTTCTTTTACTGCGTTATGTCACACTGAACGCAGGGACTCGTTGTTGCCACCTACAGTATATATGAACTGAACAACTGAACCTCGTTGAAAGGTTGACTGAAGTGGGAATAAGGATAACAGAGGAAGAAATGTTTTAATATTAGGGTTTAATAGTCCTCCCAGGGAAGATATTTGTTGGAGAATTTCATGCCCTGACATCACATTAAAAAAACTTGGAACTATTCTCTTAGATTTTTTAGTACACAATGAGGTCAAAGACATACACTTTGTATGTAAAATTTCACATAGCTCATAAATGTAGTTTTACTGAACAAATCTGTTAATCTTCCTATTAACTCCTCTTTCTGTTTTCTGAAACAACTTTCAACAAGCGTAAATGATAATCATACCACAGGACATGGTGGACTTGTTTAAATAGTCCATTATTATTTTTTCACCTTGCGATTATTATTCCAAAATAAATTTCTCGGGATAACTTTCTTGGCATAATTATCTAAAGATCATATATCCCGATATAATTATCTAGAGATAATTGTCTCAAGAACATTTTGTTGGGCTAATTAGCTCGAGATATATAGAAAATGTTATTACTCCACTCTACCCTCTAGATGGCAGCAATACGCCATTCAGACAGCATTTCATTCACTATTTTGGCCTCGGAGCTTTCATCGCAATTTCGTTTTGGTTGAATGACACAGTAAATGGTCCTCCAAGCACCCATTCCAATATTACTGTCACTTTTCTAATGGTCTTGGTTAAAGGACCTTGGACAAGCAGCCCAGAGCTTACATCTTAGATTTTATTTTTTAAAGGGGTAAATGGTTGGGTTGTAGATGATAGACCTTGAGCCTGGGCCTTAGATCTCCAATCAAAATTTCCTGTCCCTATTGTAAGAGTTTTTTCTTAGTAACAGAACCCTGGGCCTCTGAGTTCTCATCCCAAATCTTATTCTTAGAGGCTAAATGTTTGGGCCTTGAGTGTGAGATTCTGGGCCTTGGCCTCAGACCTCACTTTCAAATTTCTTTGCCCTATTCTAAGGGGTTCTGTTCCGACAGGAGGATCCATGGTACTACACCTCTGCATGGCCCTCAAAGCTATCCTCACAATTTCTTTTCAACCATGATCATAGGTCAGAGTGTTAGTTTAAAAAGTTATAAAGTTAGTTATAGACCCTATTCTAAGGGGGTTGATTTTGCCTTTTGTACCCTTGGTCTTGGAGCTCACATATCACATTTTATTCTTTCAAGGCTATGTGGCTGGGTCGTGAGTACTAGAACCTTTTGGCTTAGGCCTTAGAATTCCCACCAAAATTTCTGGTCCAGATTGGCTGGTTCTTTGAATAGAAGCCTCTGGGCCTGTGCCTCAGAGCTCCCATAGCAAATATTTTTTTCTTTAGAGGCAAACGGCAGAGAATTGGGTTGTGGACCAATGCTTGGACTTCAGATCATTCATACCAATTTTTTGTCCCTATTCTTCTGGGGTGACTCTTGGTCAATAATGCACGGACCAAAGCCTCAGAGCTCACATCCTAGGAATAATTCCTTAAAGTACAAGTGCCTAGGTCTTGAATATGGGACCTGGGCCCAAGAGCTCCCATTCAATGTCTTGGCCCTGTTCAAAGGGATTGTGAGTTGGAGCTGACAATGGTCCAGGGTCTCAGAACTCCCGTTCCAAATTTTATTCATTGAATGCTACGTGGCTGGGTCTTGGGTACTAGACTCTTACCTGGGCCTCATAGCTTTCACTGCAGTTTCTTTTCAACCATAGCTACAGTTCAGGGTGCTGGTTAAAAAGACAATGAGTCTATAAATAAGCATTCAAATATTGTAGTCTCTATTTAAAAGGGCTGGGTGTTGGTTAGGGCACTCGTTGCCTTTGCCTCAGAGTTCACATCTTAGATTTTATTCTGTCAAAGATAAACAGCTGGGCTGTGGGTAAAGGACCTTTGGCCTGGTCACCAGAGCTCCCATTTAAATTTCTTATCTCTATTCAAAGAAGTTGGGTCTTGTTGGACCCTGCACATGGACCTCCCACCCCAAATCCTATTCTTTAGTGATAAAATGGCTGGGTGTTGGTTACTGAGAGCCTCAAAGCTTTCATTCTAATTATATTGTCCCTATTCTAAAGAGTTGGGTCTTAGTTAGTGGACTTCTGTCCAGGGCCTCAGAACACACATTACAGAATTTTTCAGATCTCATCTCTCAGAATTTTTATAGGTAACTTGGCTGGGTTTTCAGAATAAGAGCAGAATGAGGCCCTTGGCCTGTACCTCCCATCCAAATTTCTTGGATCTATTCTAACAGGTTTTATGTCAACTAGAAGATGTTGGACCTGAGCCTCAGAGCTTGTTGCAATTTCTTTTCAACCATGGCTACAACCCATAATTTTGGTTAAAAAGTCCTGGGCCTGCCTCCAGGTTCCCATTCCAATATTATAAACCTTATTCTAAGTGTTTGCGTGTTGGTTAATGGACCCTTGGCCTTTGCCTCTCAGTTTACATCCCAGATTTTTTTTTTTTTTCAAGGCTGTTTGGCTGAGTCATGGATATTAGACCCTGAGCCTCAGAATTCCCATCTAGATTTGTCATCCCTGTTCTACGTTGTTGGTTCACAGTTAGAGGAACCTGATCATGAACCACAGAGCTCCCATCCCTAATTTTATTCTTTAGAGATAAAATGACAGGGTATTGAGTACTAGACCCTTGCCTGGGCCTCAGAGCTTCCATTGCATTTTTTTCAACCAGTTCAGGGATTTCAGGGATTTGGTTATAATATTCTGCATATTGTTCTTTTCCATGACAAGCTCCTCTAAATCGCTTGTAGTATCTTATAAAGTCTTATTCTTTAGAGGAAGCATGACTAGTTAGTGGACCTGGGACCTGTGCATCCGATCCCAGAATTTGTTCTTTATAGTCTAAATGGCTGGGTCTTGAATATGAGGCTCTGGGCCTGGGCCTTAGAAGTCCCATTCAGTTTTCTTTGCCTTATTCAAAGGAGTTGTGAGTTGGTTAGAAGATGCTGGTACTTGGCCTCAGAGCTCCCATTCCAAATTTTATTCTGAACAGGCTAAATGGCGTCATCTTGAGAACTCAACCGTGCCTGGCTCTCAAAGCTATCCTCACAATTTCTTTCCAATCATGGCTACAGGTCAAGGCATTGATTAAAAGGCCCTGAGCCTTGACCTCCTTTAATGGGATTGTTCTTGGTAAATTGACACTTGGCCTTTTTGTGTCAGTTCAGGGATTTGGTTAAAAAAAAACTGTCTTGATTCTAAGTGGATGGTTCTTGGTTAGTGGACATTTGGACTTTGCCTCAGAGCTCTCATCACAGATTTTATTTTTTAAGGCTATTTTGCTGACTCATGGTTAAAAGTTGTTTGGCCTAGGCATCAGAGATTCCAACCAAAAAAATTTATCCCTATTCTAAGTGGCTAGTTCTTGGTTAGTAGACCCTGGGCATGGAGCTCAGTGTTTTTCTTTTAAAAATCTTGGGCCTCCAAGTTCCAACATTATAGACCCATCCCTAATCTCTTAATTTAGAAATGAAATTGCTGGGTATTTGGTACTGGGCCATTTCCTGAGCCTCAAAGCTTTCATCCCAATTTTATAGTCCCTAGTTGAAGGGGTTGGTTCTTGCTTAGTGGACCCTTTTCTGTAAGAGGTAAAATGGCAGAGAATTTGATTCTGGACCCTTGCCTGAAACTCAGAGCTTTCTTTGTCTGTATTCTTCCCTTTGTTTTACTTTTTTGTCCCTATTCTAATGGGTTGGCTCATGTTTAGTGGACCAGAGCCTCAAATCTCCAAAAATATTTTTGAACGTCTAATTAGAAAAGAAACTGCAGTGGTAGTTTGGATGCCTAGGATCTTTTAACACAATACATCATAATACTAAATCTCCCATTCAAATTTCTTGGCCCTATTCATAGGGGTTGTCAGCTGAAGAGAAGACGCTAGTCCTGTGCCTCAGAGCTCCCATTCCAAATTTTTTTTTTTCTGAGGCTAAATAGCTGGGTTTTGGGTTAAAAACACTTCTCTAGGACACAGCTTTCACTGCAACTTCTTTTCAACCATGGCTACAGTTCTGAGTTTTTGATTAAAAGACCCTGGGTCGGGCCTCCAAACTACCATTCAAATATTTCAAATATATTCTTTACAAATAAAATGGCTTGGTATTGGGTACTGGACCATTGCCTGGACCTCAGCGCATGCATACCAATAATGTAGTCTCAATTCTAAGGGGTGAGTTTTGATTAATAGACCTTAGACCTGTGCCAGTGCACATCTCAAAGTTTATTCCTTCATGGTTAAAGGGCTGGGTCTTGGATACTAGACTTTTGCCTTAGCCACAGAGCTCAAATTGCAACTTAAAGAGTTAAAAAAAAAAAACACAAAACAAATTCAGACTGTTAAAATACAAATAGTAAAAATACACTCCTGATCAAAATCTTAAGACCAGTTAAAAAATTGCAAGAATTTTCACTTTGCACTATTGGATCTTAAGAAGGTTCTAAGTAGAGCTTCACAATGCTAAAAGAAGAAACAGGAGCAAGAGACAAAAGATTTTGAGCAGCCAATTTATTAAAAACAACAAGTTAACGGGCCACGGGCACGGGCCGATCCTCGACCCAAATTAAGGCCATTACTGGTGCTGACTGCAGCTCAATAACCATCAGACGGCATCTGCGAGGGAAGGGCTTCAGAAACAAAAAACGTCTTCAAAGGCCACGTCTCCTTCAACGCCACAAAATTGCCCGTTTGGACTTTGCAAGGGAGCACCAAACATAGGACACTGAAAGGTGGAAGAAAGTTTTATTCTCTGATGAGAAAAAATTTAACCTTGATGGTCCTGATGGCTTCCAATGTTACTGGCATGACAAGGAAATCCCACCTGAGATGTTTTCTACACGGCACAATGGGGGGGGGGGCACCATCATGATTTGGGGTGCTTTTTCCTTCAATGGAACAATGGAGCTTCAAGTTGTACAGGGGCGTCAAACAGCAGCTGGCTATGTGGAGATGTTGCAGCGGGC